ACATTAAAAATGGCCGCCAACAAACTCAAATGTGTCCGTGTCACGTAACCTCGTACGGACTCTAGTTTAAAAGGGGGTAACTCTATGATCGGAGCCAACAGTCCGGCATACACGGTTTGAACTGAGATTGAGACCTTGCCAAGACCCCATGTTCCTAGAGGCCCTGAATCTCGAGACTATGGGAGAACTGCTCATGGAGAGGTTGGTTAGATCAAAGATAGTGAATAACAAGATGGGCCACTCAGCCAAAAAAGTGTCCGCAGGAAGTATGCTCTTTGCTTCAGATGGCGCTGCAGTCTGTTTTGAAGCTCTCTTTCGTTTTTCCAGAAGAAGAATAGGAACAGCACCTCCTTGCGTGCGCAGATCGACTGCTGTTCATCAGCAGTTCGGGTACGTTCAGTGCGGAGTTTTAGTTTTTTTATATTTTAATGACCTCTCGCCTTTCATTCTAAAGTCAAATTAAACGATGAAAACCATCACCCTTTCCTCCGGAAGAGGTTTTTTGTCAGCGTAACCATTTTAAAAAAGCGTTCTTCCAAAATGTATCCCAAAACTTGCTAGTTTCACTTTGGTTTTTTAAAAACTCAAGTAGGGTAACTCTGTTCGCAAAGAGTGCGCTTTTGTGAAGAGGGCGCCACCAAATTTTGAGGACACTTTTTTAATTGGCTCAAAGAGAGAAGTGGCCCATCTTGTTATGTACTATCATTGGTTAGATCTACAATGGAAGGGAAACAACTGACAATGGACAAGCAACTGTGATGAATTATGGATTATGTCCCTCATCAATACACCAGCCAAAGTCCGATCTTTCAGTTTCAGTTTCAGTTTCGTGGAATATTGCCGTGTTTCTTGAAACTTTGGCACTAGATCAGATCACTAAGAATGTGAGTTGGCCCGCTATCTGTTTGGACGTGGAATCATCTAACTTGGAAAGCGTGTGTGTGGTGTGGCAGTGTGGTGCCTAGTAGTAGTAGTAGTAGTAGTAGCAGTAGTAGATCTTGTGTAAATCTGTGTAGAAGAGAGACGACAACACTTTTAGATCTTGCCAACGTTTTAACAAAGATTCTGTTAGCCTATGTGCAATCTTTGGTTTTAAAGACACAACATCGAACATGGATGAAATTGATGACAGTGTGTACATTGAGTTTTTTAAAGCCCACCCATGTTTGTGGAATCCGTTAGATCCTGGATATTTGAAAGATGATCTGAGGCGGAATGCACTTCAAAGAATTCTTATACAAACGAAAAGTCCGGTTACAGGTAGGTTATAATTTAATTATAATTTAATGCGCTATATAAATGTTATATTATTATTATTATTATTATTATTATTATTATTATTATTATTATTATTATTTAATTGGTTGCTTTTAAGGCAGGACAATGGGGCTATCCCGAATAATGTTGTGTTGAGAAAATAGAAGGTAAAGTTTTTGCCCTTTGTTCAGTTTCTTTCAAAGGCAAGGAGAGTTTTCTCTAAAAACCAAACAAATATTATATACTATATAATATAATTATATATTTTTTAAATGTCTTACTGCAACACGCATTTAAAGAGTCACCAGTGGATGTCTTCCTCCACTGGAGAACTGATGGGTCGCTCTCCAATCTTGCTCGACTCAGGCCAAGACCAAGATCAACTAAACAACAGTACAAGACCTTCTCTTCGCCGATGATGCTGCTCTTGTTGCTCACAGTGAATCAACCCTACAAACATTGATGGACCGCCTATTAACAGCATGCAAGGTCTTTAGCTTAGTCATCAGTGTTAAGAAAACAGTCGTCCTTACCCAAGAAGGTGCAGAGCAAAGCCATATATGGCTGAACGACAAGGAACTTAAGACAGTGGACAAGTTCTGTTACCTGTGGTCTACCATCAGCTCTACTTCTACTACATCACTTGATTATGAGATCAGCACCAGGATAGGGAAAGCAGCAACAACTTTAGGAAAGCTGACAAAACGAGCATGGGAAAACAAAAGATTAACCATCAAAACAAAGATAAAGATTTACGAAGCATGTGTGTTCAGCACACTCCTTTATGGATGTGAAACATGGACCTTGTACAGCAGACAAGAAAAGCGCCTCGACATATTCCATCTCAGATGCTGCCGCAAGATCTTAGGCATTTCGTGGCGCGACAAGGTTACAAATGTTGAAGTGTTGGCACCGGCAAACCTCCAGAGCATGATAACTATCCTGTGTTTAAAAAGATTGAGATGGCTGGGCCATGTCAAGAGAATGAACGACAACCGGATTCCGAAGCAACTTCTCTATGGAGAACTTGCCCAGGGAAAAAGACCAAGAGGAAGACCAAAATTGAGGTACAAAGACACCTGCAAAAACAGCTTATCTAAGGTTGGAGTAGATGTTAGCATCTGGGAAGAAATAGCTGAGGACAGGAAAACATGGAGGAAAATGATAAAAGAAAGAACTATAATGCTAGAAAGCAGCGTTAGAAACAACCAGGCTGAGAATCGCCAACGACGAAAGGAAAACAACGGAAATACAGAGCTTCGATCTACGACACTGACATGCAAGCACTGCGACAGAATCTGCGCTTCAAGCATAGGAAAAATTAGCCATGAAAGTAGCTGCACGATAAGACAACCTCGAGAACATCTAAAGCTTAATTGAATATATATATA